AGAATTACTTTGTCTGTGAAATGAGCTGTCGGTGAATTAATTGTCGGTGAAATGAACTTGTCGGTGAATTAATTGTCTGTGAACTAAGATGTCAGTGAAGTGATTGTCGGTGAAATGAGCACCACCCTGATAATTATTGTATCTTAGATTCAAAATAAGTCAACCAATTATAGTAAAATCCTAAAAAGGTTCGGTAATCTGAATTTTTTTGGAAATGATCAATAAACTTTTTGATTATTATTTAATCAGCTCAGAAAATCAACCATTGATTGTGGTTTTTTAGAATCGATCCCCATCCTTTTTTTTCTGAGTTTAATTTCAGGTCGTAGTTAGTGAATCAAATTCTCTAGAAAGAATGGTAATTTTTTAGTAAGAAAGTGTGACGCAACCAAGTTTCATAATTAAACCTTCGCTTGTGTAACATATATACTTTGGCGTGTAACCTTATAATAGTCTATGCAAAGTTTATAGCATAGAGTATACTTTAATTAGACTTTATATCGTTATAATACATATCTGTAAATAGTATATAGCTTATTTGTAGTCTAATAGTCTGTATAAATAGAGCACTTTTGTATTTTAGTTCTAGAGTTCAGTTTTGATGGTTTTTGGAGGTCTCTTCTGGAAGGTTATTAGTTTTAGTGCGTTAGGAACGTGCTAGGTTGGTTAGTAAATAGGGATATTTGTTCTGTCAGTGTCTGGGACACAATAAAGGGATATTGGTTTAGTACTTTATGGTGCCTTGTGTCTGATAATAACAATTGGGTTCTCATATTAATGCTTACGACCCTAAGCTAAATTGGCTACAAGGATCTAAAGTCTCTCCCCTGGTCGTGACAGAAAGCAAGTAATAGTTATATCTTGGCAATTGAATATAAGAAAAATACTGTGTATTTTATGTGTCTGTAGCTCTAGCAACCGATACTTTTTAGTAAAATATTTATGACATAATCGTACCTGGTTTATTGATTTTCCCACCACTTCGTTATTGGGAGTATCATACAATTGATTAATAAGGTATATACTCCGATATATTAATAATTAGCAAAACCAATCAGAGTGGTAGAAATGGCAGAAAAATGATCGTACCTTACGTAAATAAGATAATCGTAACTAGAGATGTAAATCGGCTGATCGGCTCTATTAGAGCTGGGATCCTTTGAATATCCATCACGGTTATTTAATGAATAAATATACACATTTTACATGGATATCCATAGAGTATTCACAGATATTCGCAGATATTCATAGATAATTTGCGGATATTCAGATAATTCATAGAGAATTCGCGGATATACAGAAAATCTCATGTGATTAAGTTTCTCATATTTATCACACAGATATTTACATGGATATTCGCACAAAAATAATCGTACAGATACTTGCATGGATATTCATATAGATTATTCGCACAGAATATTCTTAAATAATTCTTCACATATTAATTGAATAATGATTTTATCCGTGAATATTCACGGGTCCCAGCTCTAGGCTCTATTGATTAATCAGTTTTTATTATACTGAATATACAAGCCGATCGAGCTGTTTTGCATCACTAGTTCTGTAGTTATAATTAAGTATGGTTGTAAATCATTTCAAAATTATTTTTTTTCAATAATTTCAAAATATTTTGACAAAGGAAATTCTTTTGCAATATTTTATATTTATTTTTTGCTAATGTATAAACCATGATAAAAAATTTTTAAAACATAAAGAACATTAATAATAAGTGTTTAAAACTTTTTATATGTATACAGGCTCTAATGAGTCTTATCATAATATGCTCGGTGTATAATAACAATAGATCTTTAAACATTATATTAGTTTAGTATAAAAGGTGTAGTAGGTATTTCAAAAATATTTTTAGTAAAATGAAAAGCAATAAAGTTTACCGTAATATAATTTGATTAGTTACCCCTATTTAATTTTGACCGGTGTAAAAAGGAAAATAATTCTGGGCTGCGTCAGAATAGTTACTGGGCCGATATATAATAACTCACTACTCCAAAATATCAATACTAATTACACCACTTTAACCAGAACACTAGAGCTACTGTAATCAAATCCTAGTATTGGTAAGGCAACGATCAAGGCGTTGAAAGACTTGGTCCGAGTAACCAGGGTTAATTGGATCAGTAGAATTAGTGTTGAGCTCAGATAAGTATTCTCTTATCTTCTTGTTCAGTATTTTACTTCCTTCGATACTTGTAGTAATTGGAATTTCTTTTCTTCGTAGGTACTGCGGTGTGGTCACGTGATTGAAGTTGCCAATCGGGGATGTGGTACAATGTCACGGTATCACAGGGTCACGGTTTAGGTATAATAACGTTTATCACAAATTTAATCAGAATCGATTTATATATATAAGGGGTTACGTTTATTACTAATACAACGTTTCTTTCTTACTAAGTATAACAATCGATGTACAATGGTCACAGGGACAAGGTAATGAGAAATCGACGAACGATTTCTAACAGTACGGGTATTACAGTTTACAGACAAGCACTTCTACTCTAATTTCGAAGGCTTTGGGGATTCAAAGGTTATCGTTAGGTGGAAAATATGTTTTTCGAACTCACTGAGTTGTCTTTATTCAAGGTAATTTCACGCTGCTTATATACATAATTTTTACATACAACAAGATATCTAATATAACGCTGATATCTAACATATCGAATATATCTAATATCTTTGTTATCTTCATTATTTCTAATATCTCTATTAACTTGGTTATCCTTGCTATCCGAGATATAACCGTTATATTGCTAATAGCTAAGATATCAAAGATCTCTAAGATCATGGATATTACAAAGATTTTCGTGATTCCAGAGATCTCTGGGACTTGTGTTACTAAAAGTTCTCAAAACTGCAGCGATCGACAAATGCCATTTTTCCTTTTTACAACTCTTCCTCACCAAAAAGAGCACATTCCACAGGCAAAATATTAATTAAACGATTGAGTTCAGAAAGTTTAAGCTGGTGACTATAGGAACCGAAATATGTTTAGTACAATAAATTTGTTCCATGCCATAAGGTTCGAACAAATAATAGATATGGTTGGCTGCTTTGATAAAGTACTCAGTTAATAGTCCACTTGTCACTGATTTTTCAGCATGGGTTAATGTATGGATCCTTGCACCAAGATAATAAGCATGAATGACACTTCCAATCTGTTCACTGGTTTTTTAGCTTTGATCATTTTATTATAAGTGAGAAGTATTTGAGTACTAAGGTTCTGGTCTTCATGATAGAGGCAGGCTTCTGGTACCACATAAGGTGGGTTCGTAGACAAAAGATCTTCTTGAATGAGCTTTTCTTAGTTGGTCATAATAGCCTTAAAAATTTTGATTTGGTTATGTTGTTTGTATAGTCTTGAGGTTGCTTTTTATATTTCTCATTCATGGTACAATTTTAGTTGCTTTTTATTAATAGATAATTCAAGTACTCTTCCATTCAATTCCCACAATTTATACACGTCATTCGTTAGGATAGTATGTATATAATATGGGCCCTTCCATTTTGGAGGGACGTCTAAAGCGGAGGCAACTCATATTTAATGAAGTTTTCGATTAACTTTAGGGTTAGGGTCGCCTATATCAGGGTTAGTTTAGGTTTTAGATAGTTATATATATGCAAAATTGCCTTCCCGACATTTTTAATTAACCTACCCAAGGCAGGTTTAGACTGCAGTTTTTTGTATTTTTCGGGTTTTTCGTTTTTATTTCTTGTTTTGCTTCGCCGGCGATCATCAAAATTCTATAATTTGATTGGCTGTCAATCACGCGATTTGCCTCCGCTTTAGATGTCCCCCATTTTGGTCGAAATTTACAACTTCGCATGCTCATTATCTGTGAATTATAGACTAATATCTTGTCTCCTATTGAGAAATCAGATGTGGCTTTAACTTGTCAATCATGCGCTCTTTCTGTTTCTGCTGGGTTGTTTGGAGTTGGTATAACACCATTTTATGCACTTCTGGAAGATCATGATCGATCTCATAGATCCTTTGAATGATTGATCCATTTAATAATTCATTGGACGAACTAGAATGCACAGGTAATTGGGCATTTCTATCATACATCAAGTAAAACAGCATTTCTTAAGTAGAGGCTTGTTTTGCTATTCGATATACAAACAAAATTGGTGTGATTAGTAAATCCCAGTCTGTTATATTTGTGACTAACCGTGAGATTGCATTACATAATATTTTATTGAAGCGTTCTACCAGCCCATTGGTCTGCAGATGATACAGGGTTGAGTAATAGTATTTGATTGACAAAGCCGCAAGCAATTCATCTATTACACGATTTCAGAAATATGATCGATGATCTGATAGTATGATATTTGGATATCCATGTTTGCATACTATTTCCTTATAGATGAATTTAGCTACCTCCTCAGAATCATCTCTAGGAACTGCGTGAGCCTCAGGCTATCTAGTCATATAATCGATCACTATGATGATTTATTTATTCGATCGAGATATTATTAGAAGGGGGCTAACTATATCTATTTCTATTCTATGAAAAGGGACTATGGCAGGTATTGGATACAGCAATTCTTTCAATTTGTGATCGCTCTGTTTTTGACAATTTCTATATGTTTTAATATATTCTCTTATTTAATTATACATCTGGGGCCAGTAATAACAATTGCAAAGTTTATTAAACATTATTTTGGTTCCAAATGTCCTCCCGTTGGATGATTGTAAACCAAGGCTAGTATGGATTCAATTTCGCCTTCGCTTAATACCTTTAATAGACTTCTCTCATATTTTTGATTTTTCTTATAGAGCAATCCTTCCTTTATGATGAAGAATTTTCCTTGGGATTCTAATCTTCAGCATTGATCCTTATTGTAATTGAGTGGGTATTGTCTGTGAAGAATAAAATTCTTCAATATTGTATATTGTTGCTGATATATTTTTTTTTATAAGTTGTTTTGATAA